AAAACACAAGATGGCGCACGCGTTGATGACGTGAGGTTTCATTTTATATATATATATTCAGACTTTCATTATATATATTCTCAAGTTTCAATCAATATATTCAAGTTTCAATCAATATATTCAGACTTTCATTATATATATTCACTTTATTGTCAAGCTTCATTCAATATATTCAAATTTCAATCAATATATTCAGACTTTCATTATATATATTCAGGCTTTTATTATATATTCTCAAGTTTCATTCAATATATTCAAATTTCAATCAATATATTCAGACTTTCATTATATATATATATATATTCTCAAGTTTCATTCAATATATCCAGCTTTTCAATCCATATAGACAAGTTTCAATCAATATTTTCATTCCATTTATTTCCTGACCGGCTTGCCATTTGTATGGCATGCCACTTGCCATAATATATAGATAGATAGAGAGAGAGAGAGAGAGATTTCTAGACTTCATGGGCAGATCTAGGGGGTGGCTACCCCCAGAATCTGATTGGCAGTCCCTGGTGCTACCCCTGCCAGAGTCAACATAATCCTAACCCTCCCTGGCCAGGAGTGAAAAAGGAGCACAAAGCTAAAGAAAGCACTATGTGTGTCTCAGTTTTATACAAAAAACAATTTAATTCTTAATAATGTTTTGTTCATTTTTTCATAGAAATAGGGGTTTTATTTACCTTTTAATATATTTCTCTGAGTCCGTGCCCTAGCCTGGCCACCACATCCAATGTTTTCTAGATCCGCCCCTGCTAGACTTGACAAAGTGAGCTTGGCTAAATGGACTTGTTACAGCAAATGGAAAGTATTTAGGTCTTTGTCTTGTGTCATTTTTGCAAGAGGTCAAATTGTATAAGAAAGTAATCATACAATTATTATTTTTGTCAAATCTTTAACAATGAATTTTTAAGTGGCAAATTCAGTGTGAATTTAAAATGTCTGCAAGTCATTCATCAGGTTATTTTATACCTGTACTGTACAGTACATCAGTTACTCAGAATTTCTCCTCCTCACGTTTAATTAAATATGTAATATGAATTTTTTGTTTTTTGTCTGTTTGGAGTGTTGTTTACACAATTTAACACAGAGCATAATGAATGAAAAACTGCATTTTATTGTAAATATGATGAACGACCCAGAACCTTTTAGCATCTCACACATGAGATATACAGATTTAGCCTTTAGGTGAATAGTGAAATAGTTACACTTTCACTATGCATATGGATACAACTTTGGTGGCAAGAGGGGCACAACAGAGGGTTGGAGGCAAGTGTTATCTCTACGTCCCAGACTGGCCAGCATCACCCAACTAGGCCTCTTTTATCAGAAGACGGAGAGAAGGTTAACACCCCAGGACCTTTAGCCAAGATTATTAGGATGAATTTTTACGAACTATATTGTGCTTCACTGCTTTTATTTTATATAAAATGATTCAGGGTGAATTCAGGCAAAACATTTGGGTAATGTTTTGTTGATTTCAATGACTACACCCCAAACAATAACAATATGGGTTAAAAAGGGAGTGTGGACAGTAAGATTTAATTCAAAAGTAATAAAGAGTTCCTAATATTTTAGCTAAACACGTCATAAAATAATGTTGGTGATTTTGAAGTTGTGAACTGAACACAGATCAAATTTTAGAAGTGGTACAATTGCCAAGATGCTAGTGGAAGCAAATGTCAGAGAGCAAAAAGCACAGCTGTATGTAAAATAATAGCTGAATTCCATTTAGTTTATATAATTTTAGGGTCTTGGTATTGTTTGTTGTGGCTCTGTGTCACACTGTTGTGGTTTACTGAGACACTTGTTAATCTTATTAGTAACACCTGCGCTTTTCCAAGTTGAACTGTCAGTTGCGAAAAAAGTCTGTTCACTCCAGGCCGCACAAACACGTGCAATGATAAATCAGTTCACCGAAAGGTTTCTACTTCGGCTGAAGAGCAACACTCCCATCCTAGGCCTGCATGGCTGCATTTAATGCAGTCCGAGCTGTAGCACATGCACGGTGTCACTCACATGGGGGGTGCATGCATCGCTGTTCAGCCAGTATAAAATTGGTTCATTGTGTGAAAGAAACACAGATGGCACAAATTTCCAGCAGTCAAATTTGCATCAGTGAAGCAAGACACATCATTTCAGCTTGAGCACACATTAACAGACAGCCCCGTTTTTTTTTTATAGCAGACACGTTCACTTGTCATAGCAAGAAAATTTTGTTAAACCTACAATAACTTATTTTATTTAGTCACTTGGGAAAGCACAACACTGACATAGCATAACTTTGTAAGCTACTATGAGGAACCTGTTAGCAAACAGTTCCTGGTGTACACATCCAGCACATATGGGACAACAGTAGTATTTATTTGGAGTTTTTTTTTTGTCTGATGTTATAATTTAAGCCCTATAGTCACTATCCTGTTTGTGCATATATGACTATTTAGCTGATAAATATGCTATGTTTACCAGATAGTCATTAACAGTGTCTGCTGAGCAGAAAACTGCTGCCTGCTGTGGATGAAATCACTATGAAAGTGGTGAGAGCCAGTCACGGGCCAGACAGCTAAACAGTGAGCTGAATCTCACTGTGAAGCTCTGTAAAGCAGAGGAAAGCAACCCACCATGACACCAGGAGGCCTTTTGTGAATAGCGTGCCACATTCATTCCTAATCATACTATTAAATAACTTCCATCAACACGCGATCTCTTTTGCATTACTTCAGAAAACATAAGTGTGTGCAATTGCAGAACGCCACAGTACTCCTTTAATTTGTGTGACTCCCTGCCTCAGTCTGTAATCCCTTTGTGGTTTCAGAGTGAAGCAGCACGCGGACAAACCTGCCTGGCACAGCAGAGCGGGCAGAAGCAGCCAGATCAGTGTTGTGAAAGCAGCTCTTCCTGTTGTGTGGCGCAGAAACAGGGTGTACAGGGCTTCCCAGAGCATCCTGGTGGCTATTTTCTCTTTCTGTTTTCCCCCACTCCCTTCTTCTTCCATGCAGTGGTTGCAACCCCACATACCCAAACACACATCACACACTCATACACACACATACATACATACATCACCACTACCCCTCCTCCAGGAAGCTCGTTGGCCGTCAATGAGACAGCACTAACTGTAGGCATTTCCTGGCCACTTGATACAGCCAAGCAAGAGAGACAGCAGGACCATCGCACAACTGCAACTCACTCCTCAACTTTTCACTTATACACCCCCCGCTTCCCCCCACCATGCTGTTGTACCCCATCTCTAACCGCATCCCACTGTCACATAAATCTTTTGCTTGTTCTTTACCACATCTACATGCACACACATGCACAATATGCACAAACACACCTGCAACACCCCCCCAAAAAAGTCTGCTGCCTGGGAAAACTCCAACAGTTCATGGCAGTACAATTAAGGAAACATTTTTTTCCAGGGCTGGGGCTGTCACACTAATGTCAGCAAACAATTATATCCGGCTTCAGGCTGTTGCATCACCCATTATTTTTTAAACTGATATTGTTTATCACTATCGATCTGTCATCCTGGAGAGCGGCACAAACAGCACAGTCTGGATTTTGTGATTCAGCCTATATAATATGTGGTGACAAATTTGTTGTGCTGAGTTATGAACGTGTGCACATATGAATGAGAGGTAAAGAAGTAAATTTCTATGAAACAACATCCGGGGTTGTTTCATAACCCTAACACAACAGCAGTGTATTTTTATATATAACATCAGATGGTTACATACTGAGACTACAACTAACTGACCACTTTGGGGATACACAAATGTTCCCTAAACTGAGAGCAGCAAAACTTTTGGATGTGTTGAGAAATCGTGCTGACTAAGAGCAGTCTTTGGAGTGCAATAAGAGGATGTCAAATAAGGAACAGCAAACTAAAACACGCTTTATTTCTGTCTGGTACAAGTGTGTCACAATGTCAGGGTGGGACCATTGGCCCTGCTTCGCCAACAACAAGAATGGCAGAAAGATCAGAAACAGCAATGTCAACTCACAAATGTCAAAATGATAGTTAGCCTTGTTTTGTGGATAAAAGAAAAGAATCTAAAGCAGTCAGTTTGATTCAGCTCGCCCCAGAGCACAAGTCATTATCTTACTCAAACACAAAGCTTCACACTCAGTGTTTGCACATCACTGGAAAAGACAAACTGCAAAATATCACTGGAAAACCAACTCTTACTTATTTGGGAGGTGATCTTTGTGTACTCAAACACTTCTGGCGTCTAGTTACGGCTGTGTATCCTGCCCTGTCCATCAGTGTGGCATTTAAACTCTCACCATTTGAGCGCCTCTTTGTTTGCCATCTTTTGCTGTCACCGCTGATCATTTGAGGTTGCCACCAGCCTTATCTGACCCTTGACTGTTCCCAGAATGCCATGGGTCACTAGAGAGCTCTTAGCCCCATAGCTTTCCTCACTGTCCGTGTCCCCATAGCAACTGGACGTTGCTGGGGAATTAGCCATGGCAATGACTGAGTCAGTTGAGTCTCTGTCTCTGTGGGCTGTTGCCAAGGCGGGACGGACTGAAGATGGCAGGGCAGTATGGGACTGAAAAACAGGGTTTACTTTGTTGCTGTCCAGTCCAGCTGCAGTAAGCATATCTTCAGCATCATCCTCGGCTGAGTCCCTGCTCTTGTCTTGGGCCTGGTCATTGAGCAGAGTGACCAAGAAGTTGATGTACTTCACAGCCAGACGAAGGATTTCATTCTTGCTGAGCTTCTTATCAGGTGGGTGTGTGGGAATGAGTTTTCTGAGCTCAGAGAAAGCCCCGTTCACATTCTGCTGTCGCCAGCGCTCACGGGAGTTGGTGAAGACACGGCGAGCAAGTTTCTGAGGAGGACCTGTCAGACACACATAAACACTGTGTAAGTGTGCAGGACCTTAAGAGATAAATTAATATGCATTCTAGATGTTTCTTACTGTTAATACCACTTAATGTTTAAGGAATTATTTAGCCCTTTTTAAAAATGGTAATATACATTTGTAGCATGTGTTTTATGTTTTTCCATAGGAGCTAATGACAGTGACAATGTTGCCAGTCTTATAATTTATTAGCCTTTATCCTCATACTGTGAGCAACACTTCCTTCACTGCAGTTTCAAACATGCAGACATTTGTTGACAGTAGCTGTGGCTGATTATCAGTGCGTGATTCTGTATTTTTGATGCACAGAAACTCACAGTCATTGATCTCCATCTCAAAGTGTGATGAGGGCCTCCTCTTGATCCGGCTGGTATTGATGACACCATAGTTTCCTCCTGAGGACGCCAGGAAAGAGCTAGAGATAAAAGCACAGCGAAATGGGTGAAAATTTACAATCAACATAAAAAATAAAATGCAACTAATTATTAAGGCAGTTTACAAACATGCTAAAAGTTGTTCCAGCACCTCTTCCCTTAAATAACAGCCAACAGAGTGGATGGAGAATGTGAGAAGATGGCGGAAGCCATTAACTGAGGTGTGATTATGTTGGTGGCATTGATTAAGTGTGCATGCAGAGTTGTAGCCCAGTCTCATTAAGCATGGTTACTTGCTGATTCTACTTTAGGGGGATGAAATAGATCAATGCTTCATGTAACAAACAAACCAGAGAGGAGAGGAGAAGGGAACCCTATTCCCAGACCTCTATGACAGATGGGGAAGCCTTTTTTTAACATAGCTGATATTCTTCTCCTACACTGTGAAAAACTTTGTGGAAAATCCTTTTTTTGGAGTAGAAAAGAGATGAACAGTAGGAGGGCTTTTACTGTATAAAGTCTGCAAATGAATGCTTTTCTTCATGAGAGTAGGCTAAAAGATGTCAGGTCCTCGAGCCCAAAATAAGCTTTAACAGTTCAGTTTCATTGCCTTTTGTCCATTCAGTACCTACATTTAGAATTTAACTTAAATTAAAACTGGGTGTCTAGTTTCAACAGTGATATCTTCAGGTTTTTGGTACTAAATGCACAAAGAAAACATTCAGTAATACTGTATATTTAGCATGAGAAATGTGGGGTCCCTTCATAGCAGCACACATCCTGCTGTCAATTTCACCCAACCACTATTACTCACAGTGGGAAGTCGTGAAATTCCAGCAGTTGAGGTTTCATATGCAACAAAACCCTGACACCAGCATAGTGGCATTATCATTGATATGATCAGAGAAAGCCATATCATAGTAAATGTTCACTTATCTGTTTGTATTCTTGGTAAAGGTGGGTGAGTATTTTGAAAGCATTTGTTTTTTATTTCATATACTGTATGATGTTCTGTATGAAGGTTCCAATAAAATGCAGAGAATGATTTGACTGGTCTTTGAACAGGTGTTCTGTCAGTAACACTGTTTTATACACAAACCACCATCGGTACTGTCTGCTAGTACTGTGGTTCCCGAGCTGGGACTCAGCACGACTCCAAGGCAGTAACCAGGAGTAGGCCCAGACCTGGTCAGACTGGACACAGGACTGTATCCAATCGCATTTTATGTTTTGATATGCTAATGTCATTTCTTTTGTTGGGCTATGGCCAAATGAATACCAGTGGATATCAGTGTGGGCGGGGCTCACCTTTGACAGGTGCTCTGACGTGTTTGTGCGCACTGTGCGCGCGCTGTTTTTAAACTCATTGAGGCTCGGACGTGCTCCAATGTCGTGGCGAGTTAGCTAAATAACGTGTCAAAGCAAATATAGATATTTAAAGAAACCTGGGATAAGACGTGCGCAAAACACGCAAGGACTAGGCTGAACTCCAAGCCACACCGCCTGAGCAGCGTCCCCCAAACAAACCATCTATGGGTAAGATCCAATACTGCTTCTATACCAATGTCGCTGCTGAATGGTAGTAAATCCTCTAATGGAGATGATTCGGTCACTGAAGGTGCACCAGACTGAGGCTGTGCGTAAATGACGATAATTTGTTTTCAAGTGTGTCACGTGGTTGCATTAATGTTTGTGTGTTTTTATGAGGTATGGATCGGCTCTATTACTTTTTAAAAAATCTATTATGTAAAGTACTTTGGTCAACATGTTGTTTTTAAGCTGCTATATAAATACATTTTGATTATTGCATCAAGCCCATGTTCATGATTAGTTAATGTTGATTTAAAAAGAATCCTTTATATTTCTTCTGTTGTTTGTAATATCACCTTTCTAGATTCGCAGGATAATCATGGAAAATAGACTCAGAAATACAAAACAAAATTCCTAGGCCTGTTTGTTTTTTTTCCATCCTGCCTAAATGTTTTTTATGCCTATGTCACTGCTCCATGTGGTCACAATACAAAAATGAGGAGTCACAAAATTATTAACGAGGAAGAAACAAAAACCATGTGAGGTCATAAAAATAAACAGCTTAATTTTAAGAGGTTATAATGCAAAAATGCCAAACGAGCCAGGTCTCACCCAGTGAAGAAGGTGTGCGCAGGCAGGTACTGCTGAGGCAACAGGGGTCCCGGGGAGGGAGCTGAAGAACCTCCAGAAGCTCCAGGGCCTCCAGAGGTGGCCACGGGCAAACAGGTCAGCTGGCTGCGACAAAGGTCCCCATGGGGCCGGTGTAAGAGACTGGGAATTGGATGGAGGGCAGTCAAAGGGGTGTTGGGGAGGGGGAGAGGGGGCTTGCTGTGGCTGAGGCTGATGACTGGAATGTGGGGAGGAAGAGGAGTAGATGAAGAGGATAAGGAGAAAGATGATGTGGAGGTTGGAGGTGGCAAAGGGCAGGGGGAGGTCTTCGCTGGTGCTGGGAGGAGTGGAGGTGGAGAGGAAAGTGTTGGAGACCCACTGGCAGAAGCAACAGGGCCTGTGGCGGTGGTTGTGGGTCCTCCTTGCATCTCCTCCTGCTCTTGTTTGGTCTCCATGACAATGGACTCAGGTGCAGCCGCTGTGTCTGTGTGGTGATTGGTTAACACCATCGTCGTGGTGATGGGGGACTGAATCGAGCCTGGAGCGGGGACATCCGTGTGCCCCGTGCGCCCTGTCTTGTTAGTAGGATGTAGGCTGCTGATGGCGTCCGGGGATGCTAAAGCCTGGTTCTGGGGAGGACTGTGCTGCTCCACTGAGGCACAGGATGGGGAGGCAGCAGAGAAGGAGGTGGAAGAGGGGCGAGGTAGCTCTGGGGGTGAGGCAGGTGGGCTGGTGGTTTTCAGCTTCTCCATCATGGTGGTTCAGTCTCTGGGGGAATCCAAAGCTCTTCTCCCTCTCAGCTGTCCAGTGTGTGCGCTGCAAGTGTGTCTCGTCTCTGCTGTGTTTTTATACTTGTATGAGAGTAACTAACATGGTTACGTGGACCACCTTCAGATTGACCGACACAGCTCTCTGAGCCTCTTCTAACCATGTGTGTGTGTCGGTTCCATAGTGGTGACTTTTAACCCTTATTTCCTTTTCCTTTGTTCCACTTTCCTGCAGATTTAGCAATATTTTACTGCTTTACGTCACTAAAAATGTAAATTTCCCTCTGGCCAACCTGAAATCCATCAGTTGCTCTTATTCATGCCAGGATTAGATGTGAGTTTAGTATCTGTCAGTGCAGATCATATGCTTCTTGGATGAAGCTGCAGCTACCCTCTAGTCCAGGCTTGTGTTATCTCTGCTGGTGGTTTTATGATTGTAACTGTATCTGGAGTGTGTGTGGGTGAGTAAACCTGAGTCTATATTTATTCCCTCACTAGCACATCAGAGAAGGTGCAAATGGAACAAATGTGTTCATTTTTGTGTGTTGCAGTCATGAATGAACGGCAGCGTCTGTGGTATCGTCTGTGGCTGCAGCGTGGAGCCCAGGTGGTTTTTGCGGTCTGATTTGAACTGGATAACTGTTTTTCTCACAGTACATCCTGAGCAGCAGATTCTAGGCTTTGACAAAGTCTCCAGTGGCTGGTCTAAACGAGTCTGTCTGTCTGTGTGTATTTTGAGGATGTGAGTCAAAATCCTTTTAAACATTCAAACTTTTCCAGACCGGTGAAGATTGGATTGATATCAAAGACTCTGTTGAACAAAAGAAAAAAGTGCACTCAGGACATATATTATACATATATATGTAAAAACACATATGGCAGTTTATTAGTTTCTTCTGGCTAAGTCCATTTAATGGAACAGTCCTGCAATAACTCCTCCTTTTGCTAAGGTGATAACATTCAGTTTTGCTGAAGCAGATTTAGAAATGTGTTGCTTCAGTTGTATGATCATTTTAGATGTTATTTGTGGTGCTGGTGTGTTGTGTTATACTGATATTATTTTGTCCATCCCTTTCATATGAATAACCAACTAAATCCCAGGATGTACTGTATAATGCAGTACAGTTCAACAGCAACACAAACGGCCTCCAAAATAGTTGCACAGTTGAATCAAAACCTCTTTAAAAAGGTTTCAACTAATACTCTCTATTTAGCCATGTGTGTGCGCGTGTGTGAAGGCAATGCAATATGAAAACGTGCTCAAAGGTCTAAATTTGCACATAGGCGCCAGTGATCACTGGTCGTAAATCTGAATCTAGTTGATGGAAATTTACAGATTTATCTCATACTGCTCTGATGGGATGTCACAAAGATGGATATCAAGTGACTTTACTGTTGTTCTCTGCAACTTCAAGCAAAGGAACATTTGTCAGTACTCTGCTATGCAAGGTGTAAAACCTCATGATTATTCAGGTTTTGCAATTGCATTAGTTCCTGTTTTGTATTTTCTAGTGGTCATGACTTTATTTTTGGACAGTTCTGTTTTTCACAATGACATGTAGGGGTCACAGTAGTAGGTAGTTGTTTTTTGCAGTCTGTATGGTCTTTTATAAATATCTTGGTAAACAAAGGCCTTAGACAAGATATACAGAAGCAGAGTTACAGATGAATATGTAAAATGTTTCAGTATCAGATACTCAGCTCTATGTGTTTATTTTTGCCAAAAGCAGAATCAGCTGCACAAATTTTAAATAGTTTTGCTGTTGTAGCCAAATAACAAAACAATTCTGACTCCCCATATACAGGTATATTGCGGTATGGGTGACACAGCACTCGATGATTTGTCAGAGCATGCCTGTATCTTCAGACACGTTGCCAAGCTAATAGTTTGTATCAGTTACCAAAAATTATAATAATTTTTAAAAATGTGATTAACCTTTATGCTACAGCACCAGTATTCCATTAAAAGTATTATTTGTTAAATCACTTATGAATTAAAACATTTAAAGCCCCTTCAGAAAATCCGAGTTGATATAGTTTTACTTGTCTTTTGCTTCTGTAATTGTACTAGATTTTACAGTCTTTTGTTCTTGTTGAATTCATATATGTTATTGCCTTGTAATGCATAATGTACTGCAAATTTACCATATTGAGTACATTGTCACAACATTTATAATTAATCTTTTAGCACAACACTGTGAATTAAAGGCCTGATTTCATATAAAATGTCTGCCTTCATCTATTAACAACTAAATCAGCACATATTTATCATTAAAAGAATTGAATACATCAGTACCACCTTTTAATAAATATGCAAACAGACCTACTGCATATGGCCCATGGGTCATGTGAGACAAACATCTATCAGGTTGTTTATAATTAGGAATATTATTTTGAGAATAATAGTTACAGGCTGCACCAGTCGTGTATACAGACTACATAAGAGAAAAATAAAACATACTCACAGATATATTATAATAATGTCCAATGTGGCTCATGCGTCAGTTATGCAAAAGCCGTCAGAGTTCAAGTGATCTGTGAACGCACATGTTGCATCTCCGCTGTGTTTAACCTCCTCCAACTCCTCCTCCTTCAGTTCGCTCACATTCCACGGCAGCCTGTCATTGTCGCTCAGTCGCTGAGGTCAAACCCTCACCCTCAGGTGGATACCTTAAAAAATAATCTACTAATAAATAATTAGAAATAAAAATTTAAAAAGTCCCAAATATTCAAGTCAGAATGAGACCAAAAGGCAGTCCAATCGTATATATTTGTTTTCTGCTGTGAAGTTACTCCTTTGAACGAAGACGCTCTCAAAGAGATGGATGGTCAGGGTCTCTACCGTGCCCCCTTCCCTGTGTCATTCTCACCTCTCTCACTCTTCCCCGCTCTCTCTGTTTGTCACTGTCCTATCTGTCTCTCACTTTCTTCGCCAAGAAGACACAATGCTCTAGTTGGTTGCCAGTCGGAGAGCTCTGGTACTGGCAAAGCGAGGAGGGAGAGAGAGGGAAAGGGAGCGAGGGAGAGAGAGGGAACCTTGTTGCAAGGAGAGTTTTCCGCTCCCTGCTGGACAAGAGGATGTGCTAGTACAATATGGTGGCTGCTGATAAGAGCCTCAAAAGCTGCCTGTGGCCTGTAGATAAGGAACCTCCACCCCCCACCCCCTCCACAACCAATACCAACACACACTCACACACACTTTTTTCTAATACATCGCTAACTCATGCATAAAAGCAGGTTCGTGCCTGCATGCATGTACGGTACGGACACACACATCGCACTAGGCTAGTCAGACCCCAGTCCCAGACTTTGAAGGGACCTGGACCGCCTCCATGAAAATATCTGCAACTGCACTTACATCACAATATAATAAACACACAGTGATGAACTGCATGCTCAATTGTACACACACGTATGCGCCCACATGCAGCGATAACACAGTCTCATGGGGGAAACATCTATTGTAATAGCTTTGTGTGAAATGTGTGCTATTAAAGTTTGTTTTCATGTTCATTATAAGCAACAAATGCTCACTCATTATGTATTTGAAGCTGCATTTCAAAAACACAACATTTATATTCCACAGCTTTGAGACAAAAACAAATAAAGCAGGTAAACATCTGAATAAAGCTTTTCTTTTGCCAAAGTCCTGGTTATAAACCCGTTTAGATCATTAGCTGATTAGTCAGTTGACACAGAATTAAATGGCAAATATTTATGATGAATCATTTCAGTAAGTTTTCAAACAAAAGTGCCAAACATTTTTTGGGTGCAGATTCTCAAATAGGAGGATTTTTGTTATAGTAACTTGAATATATTTAGGTTTTCAATCATGGCATAAAATTAACAATTTGACAATATGGCCTTGGCCTCTGCGGGACACTTTAAAGGCAGAGAAGTAACAAGCATATTTAAAAAATCATTAACCCCGTGTGTATTTGTCACATCATTATACAAATACAGGTAAAACATTTCTGTTGTGACATCAGAGGACACCTGTGTCACTAATGACCGATACACCGGTCATCATCGTGGTAACTTTCCAAAAGCAGACTCCCTTCCTCTATTGTCTCTCACCCATTCTCCTATGTGCTCACCCAATACTATTCCCCCACCACCTCAGGGTCAGCACTGCTTTTACATTCCCTCAGCCATTTCCTTCTTAGACAGACTGAAACACAAACATAAAGGCTTTACAGTTACGTGACCTTCAAGGTCCTGGGAAACAAAGCAGTTTACTGAGCAACCGCTCAATAAATCTGTCACCAGCGTCATCATCATTATCATCGCTGTTAATTTTTTTTCTCATTGACATCATAATCTCCATCATTAGAAACATTTACTGCCCTGGTGTCTGAGTAGACTGATATTAGTAATAGTCCATATAGACTCAGAGTGCAGACAGTCTCATCTATTGGTCTGTCGCACTCTTTTGCATCCGACAGCTGTGGTTCCGGTTGATCTCACACTGGGTGCTAGAATAACGTTGTAGTGGCACCGCTGCGCCTGCAGATGCTGCGTGAATTTGCCTGAAACATATAAAAAGTTACACAGGGGACACAGAGAAATCTTTTGGGATTCCTTTGGAAAATAATTAGAACTAATATTGTCACACTGAATTATCAGCACAGTTTTGGTTCTTTAGAGGCGTTCACTTTCTGCCTGGTGCTTAGTCTCAAAAGAAGAATGGCTCGAAATGCAGCTGAGCTTCAATATGTTAACTGATTGTTTATAATTTTCTGTGTATATGTACTGCTGCGTTGTTTTCTGTTGTCATGTTTGCATGCAGAGAAAGAAAATTGCAACCGGCTGTTTTTGATTATGTTGTTTCTAATATTTTGAGTAATTTTAAAATGGCTCAGATAGATTTTAAATAAGAAAAACACCAAGATGAATTAGGATGAAACAGCATTTGTCATTTTACTTTCTTTTACAGTATTTCTGGCATATTTCTTACATATTTACTGCAGTAAATATCTGTGTAAATAGTTGTAAATGTGTATAGGTCCTGACATTTCTTGTTTTTCCTAGGAGCTTCGCGGTTTGCTAAATTGACAACTAGTTTTATAGCAGAGGTTGTGCTGTTGAAAATGATACTATAGTGAAGTGAAGACAGGTTATTATGTGCTAAACAAGGAGAAAAACAAGTGTGTAGAAAAATGGCAGACATTAACCAAATTGAATCTTGACTCCATATGGTTTTAAAATGCAGCCTCTTTATTGGTTTAATTTCGCAAGAAGTGGTCACAGTATGGCAACATAGTTTTCTCTGCATTGTGAGATACAGTTAGTCAGATAACATCCTGTGAGTTGGTTACAGTGTATAGTTTGGATTTTCCCTTCTAGCTGTAAATACCTGACTTAGTCATAGAGAAGAGAAAAGACTAATCCTTTGCTCTCTCATTTAAGGCCCCGTGTGAACAAACTGTAAGTGGGGAATAATAATAGAAACAAACGATAACAGACAGCTTCCGCTTTTCCCTTGAGTGAGGAAGAAATCAAGAGAGGATTGTTTTAATCTCAGAGCCACACTGTCACACCCTCCTCCCATGGCTACCTCAAAATGCCACGCTCAATAAACGGTGTATCGATGGGGGAGCCTTTGTGTGAGAGTCAAGTGTGTGTGTTTCAGGCTATTTGTTAAAATGCCCCTGAGAGTTCAGTGAACATGAAAGTAAATGTAAAGGTTCTGTATGTGTGTGTGTGTGTGTGTGTAGTATTACTCACACTGTGGGGACAGAGACCTGTTTACACACTCATAGGGACTCTGCCCCCACCATGTAAACCTTTGCATTTTCAGGTGACAACTTGGTTTAAGGTTAGGACTGACTCATAGTGGTTATGGTTAAGATTAGGGTAAGTCTCCAGGAAGTTAATGGACTGCATGTCAATGTCAAGTCCTCACAAAGAATGAAAACAAATGCATGTGTGTGTGTGTGGCACCTACAGACACAACCCTGATATGTTTGCTTGCCCAGTAGTGAGTGTGCTGTAGACGAGGAGTGAAAAATGAAAACCTTGCCACCTGTTTGTGCCCTTTAGAAAATACCAGCTGTTAAAATCTACAGTAGTTGAGGAACATGACATTAACAGGTGTGTCTCGTGGTTACAGACCCACTGTTTATGTTTCTTACATGGGCTGCAGAATAAAGGCCCAATCAACAGCATTTTAAATGTTAAAATGACAGAAGTCAAAATCTGTTCATTTCAGTAATGCCCAAGTCAATCAATGTGCTAGCAGAGAACGTCTTTGGTTCAGCAATAGGGAACCATGACAGAGCTGATCTTTGGGCCAGGAGAACAAACTGTATTAGTTTATTATCTGTGTTGCACCACTGACCTTTATTTATCCATCTGTCATTGTAACTGCTCCCAAAAAGAAGGATGGTTTGCAGACGTTTGGGGCAACAGTTGAATTGTGACACCTGGGGGAGAAAAATGAACGCATGCGGTCACCAATCTAAACCTTGAAATTGGATGTTTTGTCACAAACTACAGTTGAGAATATATATATATATATAAGTTGAGACTGAGCAAAGGTTAGCTACCATTAGCCACCACAAGCAATTAATCAAGTGACACAAGGATGTAGCAGCTAACCCCCTAGTAGCCTTGATTTGAGCAAGATCAAGAGAAAGGGAGAATGAAATGATCACAAATAAAACAGCTTTTGCATTTTTAAAAGCAATATCTTTATTTTTAGTGATCACAGAATATAGTGTTAGTTTAGATTTTTTAAAGTCATATTAACATACAGCGGGGACATAGTGTATAGTGTGCATTCACATGCACATGCCCAAGAAAATGCTCACACATACTCCCTAAAGTGGCCATGGCCAAGTTTCCTCTGCCTGATATAAACACTATTGTGTGCTGGGTGATATGGATCACTGGAACCTAATTGTTTGAGGTAATATTCGGAGTGTATTTCATGGAGAAAGTGACAAACAATGCCGCGAGCGCCGGTCAGGACGAACGCCCTCTCTCCTCCTCGGCTGCAATAGATGTCAACTCTGTTTATTTTTCCTGATTGTCCTGGAGTCTGGCCATCCAGCTACAGACAATGACAACAAGAGAAGCGCCAGTTTATATAGTCATGGCCAAAAATATTGGCACCCCTGAATTTCTGTCAGATAATGCACTATTTCTCCTAGAAAATTGTTGCAATCACAAATTCTTTAATTTTCTCATGTTTATTTCTTTTGTTTGCATTGGAACGACACAAAAAGTAGAGAAAAAGCCTAATCTGATCCATTCCACAAAAATGGACTGGACAGAATTATTGACACCTTTTCAAAATGATCTGAAATAGTTGTATTTCAAGCTTGTGATGTTTCTTTAATTTGGGATGAAACTCACCTGTAACAATCAACAGCTGCTGGCAGTATAGAAATCACACTTGCAACCAGTTAAAATGGAGAAAAGTTGACTCAACCTTTGTGTCGTGGACCACACTGAGCATGGAGAAAATAAAGAAGAGCAAGCAATTGTCTGAGAATTTGAGAACCACAGTGGTGGAAAAGCCTGGATAATCTCAAGGCTACAAGTCCATCTCCAGAGATCTGGCTGTTCCTGTGTCCACTGTTTGCAACATGGTCAAGAGGTTTACAGCCCATGGTGCTGTAGCTAATCTCCCTGGACATGGAAACAGACAAAGAGATGACAGATTGCAATGAAGGGTCATTTGAATGGTGAATAAAGAACCTCGATCAACTTCAAAACTAATTCAAGCTGACCTGTAGACATAGGGTGCAACAGTGTCAACTCGCACTATCCGTCACCGTCTGTATGACAAGGGGCGCTATGGTGAGACCCAGGGGCCCCCACTGCTGATACAAACATAAACAAGCCAGTGTGGCTTCCTCAGGTAAGTTGTAAACTCCAATCCTTCTGGGAGAATGAGACTACAATAGAGCTTTTTGGTCAAGCACATCATTCTGCTGTTTTTAGAAAAGGAATCAAGGCCTTCAAAGAAAAGACCAGGGTCCCTACAGTCAAACATGGTGGAGGTTCACTAATGTTCCTTTGC